CTTCCAGAACCAAACCAGCTTCAGACCAAACCAGCTTCAGACCAAACCAGCTTCCAGAACCAAACCAACGTCCAGAACCAAACCAACATCCAGAACCTCCAGAACCAAACCAGCTTCAGACCAAACCAGCTTCCAGAACCAAACCAACGTCCAGAACCAAACCAACATCCAGAACCTCCAGAACCAAACCAGCTTCAGACCAACCTTCTAAAAAGAAACCATAACTTTTAATTTGTCCTCTTGATGACTAGCAGAGGACATGACCATCTGTTCACACGGTGATGAAATCACATTGAATGAGTGAAAATATGTCTGAGCTGAATATTTAGGACAATTTAAAACCAAAACTAATCTGTGAACTATGACAGGGATCAGTTCAGTCAGGGAAAGTCCAACTTTCTGTGAGCTTTTTAACTTCTGAATCGTTCTGTTGTGAAGTTTCTGGACATTTTTCGATTTATTTATTTCAATTTATTTTGTTACCAAAACCAGAACAGAACCATCTGATCCAGTTTCCCAAAGTCAGCAAACCGATAACAGTAAAAATAATAAATCTGCTTCAACATCTCTAAACCCTAAACAGAAATATTCAGAGGTTATTATTTCACTTCTACATTCATTCATAAACTGATCAAATTAATTGGCATCGGAAACCAGATCTGATCATTTGGGACGGAATCGATTCACAAAGCCTCTCAACATTTGGGTCACAGAACATTTAGGGCAGAACATGTCAGAACTTGTCGCCTCGTCGGATCGTCTCCATCTCGGACCTCCTGAAGGAAAAACGGTTTTCTGTTTCCACTAAAAGTTCGTCTCCTGTCAGCAAACACATCAGGTCCTACATAAAGTTTACTGTTATAATGTCCGGCCAGACTGGAGAGACAGGAAGGAGCTGGACCCGGGTCCGGTCGGGTTCTGCTGCTGAGACGTTTGGTTCTGGAACGGGTCAGCTGGAAAAAGGCCGATAAATGACAATGTGGATCAATCCCAGCAGAACAAATGGACTTTAGGGCTCATTAACTGGGACAGACCCAGTTTGAACGGCACAAAAACCAGCTGAGTTATCGTTTTCATTTCTCCATTTCAGCAGAAAAAAATTGGATCAAACATTTCTAACAGTTCAGGTGGGAGAAGAAGAAGAAAGGTTCAGCGTTCTGCCACCTGTGGATCCGGGACGGTTTGGATCGGGCCGGAGGGCGCTGCAGCAGGACTCGGGTTTAATGCGATGCGACACATGAAGACGAGGCGTGGGAGGACGTCCCCACGCGGCAGGACGCTTTTAGCCGCGGCAGCTGAGTGACGGGGTGTCGGGTCCATTTAATCAGAAGGAAGCGACTGATGGGCGTCTAATAGGAACCGGCTGATCATCGGTCATCAGATCCCAACAGGTTAAAACCAGCTGGATGTGGCCGAGAGTACGACCAGACCGTCCCAACACGGGAGAGGAGGAGTGATGATCTGGGCTGGGTGTGCAGATCAGGACGCAAACAAACACCAAACATCCAATTTAATCATTTCAGCTGCTTGCATCTCGTTCTTTCAAACATATCAGAGGACAAAGTGCTGAGTTTCTTTACTTTAGTTCTGATCCCACCGGACAAATAAAACGCCAGTAAAACTAAAAGTATCTCCGTCAAATTGTTGAAGTCCTGGAATATGTGCTTTCAACACCCTGAGAGAAGGACCAGCATCTACTGGAGAGCCGCAGAGCGCGGCTGTCATCTGTTCCCGACCAAACAGGACAAACAAAAACTGAACTTCAGTACTGAAGAAAATCACTTTGCTGCTGGCCAGACCTGACCAGGACAGACTGATCAGCGACCCGGAGCTTCGCCTTTTGGTTCTGCCGTCTGTCCAGCTCCGGCTCCAGCTTCCCCTCATTCCTAAACAAAACCTCAGACACTGGAAGGCCTCCACTGGGCCTGACCTACGACCTGAAGTAGGTCAACTCCCTGGATTCGGATCGGAGGAGACGACTCATCAGGCATCTGATCAACTTGGTGTCAAACGTTTGTCGGGTTCTGACTTATGATCAGAAACATCAATAATCTGAATATTTCAGACTAATAATTACATAAAGAAATCATTTCTATAACAACAGCAGAAGTTCTGCTTCAGAAAGTCAGAGTAACTGAACCAGAACCCAAACAGTGCCGGCACGGTGTTCCAGGAACAGATTAACGGGTCGATGAAAACCTCTGCAGGCGGATCATCCGAGTGTCGGATTGAATATCCGGCGTGTCAAAAGCCAGCGCCGCCGGGCGGCCTCCGTCGGAGGCGTTGTCACCGCCACGGAGCGCGGCGCCGTGAGGAGCTAATCATCAGATGTTTAGAAACAACGGCGGCGGGGAGGTTAGCACGTAATTAATGTCACAACACGGCGTCCTGCTGCTGGACGGAGCGAGGAGGAGGA